GCAAGTATTTGTGTGAAAGTACAGCTGCTAAGATCAGGGCCTGAAAGCATCTCTGGGGCAAAAAGAATTGGAAAGGAAAGCCCAAAATTGGGGATTGGCTGAGCTCCCAATCCCACATGGCTTTCCACATGTCAGAGAGGATTCCCAAGACTACTACTGCTAACAGCCCCAGCCTGCCCCGCCCTGCTGTGGGGCATGCTGGGAGCTGGGACATCCCACATGGCTTTCCACATGTCAGAGAGGATTCCCAAGGCTACTACTGCTAACAGCCCCAGCCTGCCCCGCCCTGCTGTGGGGCATGCTGGGAGCTGGGACAGCCACTTGACTTCTTAAGGTAGCTACAGTAGCAGCTCAACATGACTTAAGGTGGAGCAGATAGATAACTAGAAAATGGCAAAAAGAAGGCAAGTGTGTGACTTTGAGGGCATCTAGGCAAGAGCAGGGCCTGACCTTTTGTTTTTTCCATGATGTGTCTTGCTTCATTTGCTTGGGTCCAAAAAAGGCCATAAGGAACGTTTAATTGAGTAGAAAATTCATAGGTTGGACTCTGGTGGAACTGATGTCACCATGCCTGAGGACAGGAAAAAGATAGAACCACCCCCATTGGAGACAGTGGGAACAGGGCTGGCTTGCTTAGAGGTGCAGAGGAAAGCAGCACGTGGGCCTGCCCTGAGGTGAGAGAGGTCAGGTGGCCAACCATCCCTGTTTGCCCAGGACCGAGGAGGTTCCCAGGAGGCAGGAACTTCAGTGCTAAAACCTGGCAAGTCCCCAGGACAAGTTGGTCACACTAGATGAAGCCTCAGCCAGGTCCCGCTGCCTCCTCACCCCAGCCCCCTGTGTGTGCAGGTTTGCATCCAGCTGCCTGCTATGGGCTGCTACAGACTCTGCTGCTTACTAGCTCAGGTAGTCGTATAACCTCTCCAGGCCTTACTTTGCTCGTATGGAACATGGGGTTCATAGAAGCTATCGCAGGGGTTTGTGCTGTTTGAGAAGGCACGAGTGTGCCCAGGTGAAGCATCTGGCACCTACTCATAGTCATCATTTAAATGGTAGCAATCTTGTTTATTACTCATTCGTTCAGTTCATTCAACAGATGTATGTGTGTGTGTGTGTGTGTGTGTGTGTGTGTGTGATGTACCAGGCATTGCGACAAGCCCAAGGAACAAAGACAAAAACCCTGTCCTTGTGGAGGGACATTAGGGAATACTTTGTATGACATGTTAGGAGAGAAGGCCATGGAGGGAAACAACTGAGCAGGGTGAAGGAGATTGAGAGTGCCAGGGCGGAGAAGTGGCCATTGTATAATGTGGCGGTCAGGGTAGGCCTCACTGGGAAGGGGACATTTGTCCAAAGACCTGGAGGAAATGAGGGAGTGAGCCCTGCCCAGCAAGGAGGAATCTGGGCAGGGGGGGCACAAGCATGTCTCATGCGTTCCCAGAACAGCAGAAGGCTCGCCGGGCCGGGTCCCAAAGCACAAGGGGAGAATAGTAGGAGATAAGGGCTGGGGGCTGGGGAGCTCACAAGTGGCCTGAGAGGTCATTATAAGGTCTTTGGTGCCCAGTTTCCCTCCAAGTAAAAGCCACCAGAGGACTTTGAGCAAATGAGTTACATGTACTGCATGGGCCTTAAAAAATATCATTCTGGGGCCGGCCCGGTGGTGCACTGCTACAGTGCGCCGCTTGGGAGTGTGGCGGCGCTCCCGCCGAGGGTTCGGATCCCACATACAGACCGGTTCCCGCTCACTGGCTGAGCTCCGTTGCCGGACACGAAAAAAAGACAAAAAAAGGAAAAAAATATATATATATCATTCTGGCCACTATGTTAAGAACAGGCTGAGAAGAGGACAGAGAGGGCGGAAGCAAGCAGACCAGTTAGAGGACAGTCACAATAATGCAGGTGAGAGACGATGGTGGCTTAGACCAGGGAGGTAATAGAAAAAAATGGGGAGTGATTGGACTTTGGACATATTTTGAAGGTAGAGCTGATAGGATTTCCTGACTACCTGGATACAGAGGATGAGAGAGAGAGGAGAGAGGAGAGAGAAGAGAGAAGGAGGGGAGACTCGAGGATGATAAAGTGGTAACATGTTAGCAGAGAGGGGCAGGACCACTTGCCCCCTCAGACGGGTGCTTACATAGACTCCTGGGGGTGGGCAGGGCTTCTTTAGGCTATTGGGATGCCCCTTATGATGAGCTTTGCCCTCGTAATTGTCTACTAACCCTTGTTAAGGAGGGAAGGGCATCTCCTTCCTTTGCATTGAATCCTGCTTCTTTGAGAAACATCCCAGGTACATTGATGGACTATCAGAGCTCCTGTCTCCCTTAAGCAAACCTGTTTCCCTTAAGCAAACCTGGCCTTCCACATTGGCACAGCTTTGCCATCTCTGGTCCCTGGAGAGGAAGAACCAGTGGGGCCCTGCGCCTTGGCAACTCTGCCTCTGCTGCCTGAGATCAAGATGCCCTGCCCGGAACACTCCTTTCCCAGGCCCTTGCTTTTCTTTCCTACAGGGCATCTGACTTCTCAGGGTGGTGGAGGCGGGGAGCCCCTGGGAAGCAGCCCAACTTGCTTCTAGTGCTTTGGCCAGCCTTCGCTCCCCTGCAGAGCTCAACTGTGCCACCCAGCTTGAGCCAGGGTGATATACTGGGCACTGGTAGGCAGGGGGCCCTGAGTAAGAGCATCAGACACCAGTTGCCTAACCAGGTCCCTGTTTCTCTCTCGTAAGCACTAATGAGTGAAAGTGGTCTCAAAAAAGGGCCTTCCAATCCCAACTGCATAAGTTTCGATGCCAGTTCATCCCCGTCGCCCACTTTACCTCCATGCAGACCCCCACATTTACCTTCCTAGACAGATGAGAATCTCCAACACCTCTCTTGATGCTTTTGCTTTTAGGATGGGGAAATGGAGCCCATCAGGGTCACAGACCCTTCAAACCCATTCTGTGCAGACTGGGTCACAGACCCCTCATATGCAGGTCATGAGCTAGGTAATTAGAAAAGATCCTGGGAGCCGTTGGCAAGGTTGATGTGCTTTATTCGGACATGAGCTCAGCCTCCAGCAGATCAGAGCCATTGTCTTTTATATTAGAGTCAGATACCCAAGGAACACATGGGCGAGTCAGATAGCCAAGGAACACCTGGGCGCACATGCGCAGTTAACGTATTTACATCAGACAGGCTGAGTCCTGCTCAACCGGTATGAGGTGAGGGAGCCTGACCAGTCTGTCTCCATTTTCCTCACAGAGCCCATCTCAGAGCCTGCAAACAAAACTCTCTGGGGTACCTATTTTCCCACTTTCAAAATCCTTCTGTCCGAATGTCTTCCTTAGGTCTAACCTAAATCTCTTGTTTTGCCATTTAAGGTAACTCTTGGGTTCTGTTCAGTGGAGATGGAGAGCAGACGTCTGCCCTCACACCAGGCCCCCGTTCCTTCCCACAATGGAATAGCCCTCCATGTTGACTAAAGTGTGAAGTGTGAAGAATGCTCTGGCAGCACTGGCTCCATTGTGTCCTTGTGGCCTCAGTCACCTGCTTGTCCTTGCTCTCTGTGTGGTGCTCAGTTGAGTATCCCCTTCTCTGATTCCGACCTTCCTCAACTGTTGACCTTTTCTAAGGCAAAGGTTGTCCCTCCCTGCCTGTGGGGAACCCATGAAACAGGCAGCAGCAGCAGCTTCCAGTGCCAAAACCAGGACTAATTTGCTGCAGCATGTAAACTGCTCGATGAATGCCAACCGGTATTAATTACCACGTTAGGATTTTCCCTTTCCCTTAAAGAGTAACCCCCCAGGGTCTGATACAGGGGCCTAAATATAAGGAAGACACTGTGGTTAATTCTATCTCTCGTCCCTCTGGGAATGTGCCTAAGATGTGTGTGTGGTGTATGTGTGGTATTGTATGGTGTGTGTGGTGCGTGTGGGGTGTGTGGTACGTGGAGTGTACGATGTGTGTATGGTACGTGTTCTGTGTGTTGTATGTGTGGTATGTGGTGTGCGTGTTGTGTGTATGTGTCTGTGTGGTGTGTGCGGTATGTGATATGTGGCGTGTGTGGTGTATCTGTGTTTGGTATGTTTGCACATACATGTGTGTTAATACTAAAGGATGCTGGTAATCAAGGACTGGGTAGTATCTAAACGTGTTGTGTGTATGTGTCTGTGTGGTGTGTGCGGTATGTGATATGTGGCGTGTGTGGTGTATCTGTGTTTGGTATGTGTGCACATACATGTGTGTTAATACTAAAGGATGCTGGTAATCAAGGACTGGGTAGTATCTAAAATCTTTGTGGCTTCACCTTTCTTGTTCTCTTTTTATTCAACCTGAATACCAGTACTTGTCTTAGTAACTAGTAAGTACTTAGCTCTTGGTAGGATAGTAGTACCTCTTAGTGGGGGGGGGGGGGTGGAAAGGAGGGGCAAGTGTTTTTAAAGGTGATGCCCACAAGTTGTGTTTTCAAAGCTTCTGCTCTGATGATGATCTCCTAAGCTTCCAGAACTTGGAATTGGGACACGTGGGTGGGCTCTGCCTCACCATATGACCTTGAGCAGGTAGCTTGTTCTTTCTGGCCTTTGTGTGTGAGCCACTGGTTGGAAGTGAACTCTGTATTTAAATCATCACCAGTATTTACATGTGAATATGAGAGAAAGTTCTGTGTGAATTCTAAAGTACATTTAATTGCTTATGTACTTAGAGCTGGAGCCCAGAACATACTCAATGTGAAGTAGATGAAATTGTACATCTGGGTTAGCTTATCCTGATTACTAAGAGAAGTGAGTGGCCTCTATGGCCAAATAGTCCCACTCTGATCATTTTTAGGCTGTAAGTTCTGTACCCCATGAGTCCTGGGCAAATTGAGATAATTACCCACCCAAACTGGATCTTGTACTTGGGGAGATCAAGAGGCAAGGTTTTTTTTTAAGGGGTCTTTTTTTAAAAGAGGTCTTTTAAGTGCCTTCTTCTGTCATCCCCCTTTTTATCTCACATATTTATTCCCTCCTATCTTCTTTTCAGGTCTATCTGGGAACCCTGCAGATCTGGAGAAACGTAGGCAAGTGTTTGGACAGAACCTGATCCCCCCCAAAAAGCCCAAGACCTTCTTAGAATTAGTGTGGGAAGCCCTTCAAGATGTCACACTCATCATCCTGGAGATCGCAGCCATCATCTCCCTGGTCCTGTCCTTCTATCGCCCCCCTGGTGAAGGAAGTGAACGTGAGTATCCTTAACAGCTCAGCTTGATTCCAATCTGGGTTTTTCCACCTGCACCAAAAAGCATGTAGTATTGGTGGTTGACAGGTTATAGCTTAAACCCGTCCCCCCATTATCCAGAGTGGGCTCTCCAAAAGAAACCAACTAGTAGTTAGTAAGCTATTCTTCCTACACATCCTTAAGGGTTTTTTCCCCCTTCTCCCATCAAATCCTTGTTCAGAATGTCACAGATCCTCTACCCTTACCCAACCAACAAAGCCCTGCTTCTCAAAGTGCCCCCACCAGTTGTCCAGCATTATAGGAAACAGCCATGGGAGTCTGGCCATCATAAGTTGGGAATCATAAGTTCTTTACCTGTGACTTGCTTATAATTTGCATTGACATATTTTCTGCTATTTAGTCATTTACTTCTTTCGGATTAACATAAATAGTTATACTGGCGATGAGACAGCATTCAATCCTGCTATCCTCTGATATCCTCAGACGGCAACTCTTCTACCCAAGAGTTTAATTTTCTGTTATTCTTTCTCTGACTTTCCATTTTGGAAGAATTGTACAAGAACTACCCTCATTTCTTAATGTCAGCAAAAGCCCTTCAGTGACTATTTCTCCCCCTTTCCTGGGATAGGGTGTGCTCAAGACATAAGTAACCCAGAAGATGAGGGGGAAGCAGAAACTGGCTGGATCGAGGGGGCAGCCATCCTGTTCTCAGTGATCATCGTGGTGTTAGTGACTGCCTTTAATGATTGGAGCAAAGAGAAGCAATTCCGGGGGCTGCAGAGCCGCATTGAACAGGAGCAGAAATTCTCCATTATCCGAAATGGCCAGCTCATCCAGCTCCCGGTGGCTGAGATTGTGGTGGGTGATATTGCCCAAATCAAATACGGTGAGCACTCCACGTTTCTCATACCTATGCCACCCCTCCTCCCATCCCCCCACATTGGAAGGGTAGGTCCTTTGGCATGAGGGAGCTGGGAATTGCTGAAACCCCAAAAGATAAGACCCCAAATTCTGTTAGCTTCTAGGTTAGAGTTGAAGGAGTTTGTGGGAAGGAATTTCAAAGAAAGCAATAGCAAACTCTCCCAAAAGATTGTCAGACTTGTACCCTATGTGTCTTAGGGTTAAAAGTATATAATATCCAGGCCATGGGAGGGTGTTTGGGGATGAATAATAGTTTGAATTTATAATACCTAGAAAGGAATCTTGTCCCAGGTTGTACAGAGCTTAAGTTGTCGTTTAAAGTCTCTCCAGATACTCCCTGGGCCAGTGCCCTCTACGTAGGACCCATGGGAGCAGCCCTGAGATAGGGTTGAAGGGTTTGGAGTTCTCCACCCTCTGCCAGGCTCTTTCCTGCCCTCCTTCACTGTTCCCCCTTCTCCCTTGTGCACTAGGTGACCTGCTGCCTGCAGATGGGGTCCTGATCCAGGGGAATGATCTGAAGATTGACGAGAGCTCTCTGACAGGGGAATCAGACCATGTCAAGAAGTCCCTGGAGAAAGACCCCATGTTGCTCTCAGGTATCCTCATCCTCACCTGGTAGCCCCTGGCCACCCAAGTTCCCATTCTCCCTCTCCCTACACAGCCAGGCCACAGGATGTAGACCCTGCTCTCTCTTCTGGCTCTATCCCATGTCCTTCTCTTGGGTTCAGCCAGGGCAGTAGCATATTGGTGGGTTGAATACAAGGATATCAGACAATCTAAAAGAGGTTTTCTAGGAAACAAGAGCTGTAGGGGCCTTGGAGGGGCTCTGCTGTTTGGGGGTAGGGGTTGAGGGGGAGGGATTGCCTTAAAGCAGTCAGATTCGTTTTTCTCCTTACCTCCAATTTGCTTGGTCTGTTTTAAATGGGCCCAACTCTTGATCTCTTACTACTATCTGCTAAATATATCATTATGGGTGGTGGGGAAAAGAGGGGCTATTTTTTCTTCTAAGGTTGTCTTTCACACCAAATCACGGCCAGATATAAAAAAACAACATTCCTTCCCATCTTCTCCTTTCCTATATAGGGACCCATGTCATGGAAGGTTCTGGCCGGATGGTAGTGACTGCTGTGGGTGTGAACTCCCAGACCGGAATCATTTTTACCCTCTTGGGGGCCAGTGAGGATGAGGAGGAGGAGAAAAAGAAGAAAGGTAAGGAACATGTGGAACGAGATTCTCTTTCCTCTCATCCCCGTGGACAAATTAGGAAGCAAGGGAGCAGATCTGGATGGAAAACCTGATTGGAAGAATCTGCTGGAATGAAGAGAGCAGATATCCCAAACTCCTTGCCTACAGATGTAAATCCTGGCTCTCCAGGGAGCTCTGATGAAAACTAGATCCTGGTTCTAGTCTCCCAAATCAGGTTGCATTTGAGCCTTGACTCCCATGCCTACTGGTGGGGTATAAAGGGATGTTATAAAGCCTGCCTAAAATGAGCTGGCTAGGTGCTCTAGCCCAAAATGCCCTCTGCTGACCACTCCTCCTCCCCTAACTTTTTTCCTTTGAAGATGGAGGATTAAATGAACTATAAAGGCTAAGGGAAAGTGGGCCAGAAAAGTCAAATGGATTCCTGCTGGAACTGTGGGCTCTCGGTGGAAGAGAGACATGGCTAGGAGAGTGGGAACAGAGATGTATATCCACCTGAGGTTAGCCCAGTCTTTGCCATTCACTTATTCCTGAAGGGAGGAATAACAAAAAGGAGAAAGAGAAAAGATGCTAAAACCAAATCTACACCTTTCCCTAAGTATTCCTTCTCCTCTTGGAGGAGAGGAGGATTTCTACCACTTGTCTGGAGAATCTTGAGCTGTTTAGTGGTGGGCAGTTTATGAAAAGGAAACAAAACACATCCTTCTCGGGAATGAGACTATTCGTTTCTGCAGCTACCTGCAGGTAAATAAGGAGGAAGCTTTCCTGGTGCTGTTGAACTGCCATCGAGACACTTTTGAGGGCCTTTGCCGTCCAGCAGAAACAGTTCAAACCTCTTGCTCCCTCACCTCCACCCCATTTTCCCAAGCCATGCGACTCAGGCCGGGAGCATCATCCCAGCAGCAACCGTGCTCCAAGAAAAAGCAGCTCACGTGTTCACTCACCTACGTGTACACTCGCGTGAGCATTATAGTCAATATCCTAAGGATCCGTTAGCGCCTCTAGCAGGAATAAACAAAAACAGAGATGTGAGCTTCCTTTACATTGATTTCTCTTCCCTGCAACCCACCCTCCTTGCTATAGCCCGTCTGGGCTCTGAGCAGGACCAACAGATTGGATATCTGATCTCTTAATAGACACTTTGGGTCTCCACCCCACTTTTTTCTTTCTTGTTCAAACAGGTAAAAAACAAGGAGTCCCTGAAAATCGCAACAAAGGTAACCTCTCCACCCACTCATTTACCATCTCTACCTGCCCACGCTCAAGCCAGACCTTTCCAGGCCATCTGCCTTCTCCCTTTTCCTGTCCATAAATCTGTTATCTGCTGCTGTGGCCCAGACGCCTCATCCTGAGGAAGGTGCAGAGATTTGGGGGTGTTTTCAAGGTCCCAACCCCAGTCTGAAATGGAACAACAGCACCCTCTGCTGTTGGCTCACAAAACCTCATGTGAAGATTTCTCTTGGGGGTGTGTAGGATTGATCTGCTCTTCCCAGAATACTGAACTCTTTGCTTCGTTACCCTCGGCTGGATTTGAACACCAGTGGTCATCAGTGCCTGGGTTAGAAGACTTCAAGGCCCTCGTGGTGAAGGCAGTGGGGGTGGGCAGTCCCTGCACCATCCTCTTGCTGGCTTCCTCATTGGTGTCTTCTTCTGGTCTGGATTCCTTCTCTGCTGGTCTTTGCAGGGGTGCTTGGAGAGAGCCCTTTCTCTGTACCTCTCTCCCCACCTCTTTCTTTGTTCTCTCCACAGTCTGTCTTCTTCCTTCTTATCTGATGTGTGTCTCTTTTCGTGGCTGTGTTTACATTCCGTCTCTGTCTTGTTTGTGCGTCTGACAGCAGAGACAGTATCTCAGGAAGGACATCCTAAGCAAGGGGCTGAGTTCTGCGGGGGTGAAGTTGGACGGGTGTTGGGAACCAGCAAGAACTGCTCTCTTGAGACAACTCCTGGAGATTTTATTTCCTTTGTAATCCACATCATTGTAGTCTTTAGAAATAAAGTCATCACATTGGAGAACCAGGTCTAAACAGAAATAATTCTTTAATTTTAGGTCTCTTTAACTCTTCTTTTAAAACAAGATGGATTTACATGTCTGTCTTTAAGCCTGCTTTCTCTTATTCCAGGGGCTCCCTCACACCAGCTTCTACCCTGTCCACCAAGACTAAACCCCAGGTCCCACTGTCCACCTCCCTACCTTGGTCAGACAGGGTAAAAAGTGGATTTCCTTCCCCTGTCTTTCTACTGATATAAAAAGGAGCTGGAAAATACCCTGGGCCTGGGGGTCTGTGTTTCTTCCTTGACAGTATATATATAGAGAGAGAGATGTACCTTTTAACAGAACAGGTTAGGACCCTTATACTCTCAAAACATCTGCCAGCCTTCCCCTTCAGCTCCTTTCTGCAGTAAAGATTCACTATTTTAAGCACTGAATCCTAGGGAGGATGGTTGCCGAAATAGTGCTTAGTGGCATGATTAATCCTCTTGCTGGAATAAACCTGGCATGGGGCTCTGAGTTGGTGCCAGGAAGCTGCCACTGAAGAGGAAATCATACCCTAAAAGCACCCCCATTTCATCTCCAGTTGTTAGACTATCATCCCAAATGCCCTAATAGAAGACAAAAGGCAAGTTTTTTGTCTGGCATGGGTGGGAGTGGTCAGAGCTGATGTTAGGGGTCAAAGGTCTATTCCAGGAAGAAGACAGAGGGTGTTTTGGTTTCCACCTGCCTGCCACTCAGTGCCACCACCTTGCCTGCTCACCTATCCTATTTGTGTGCTCACCCTAGCTAAGACCCAGGATGGAGTGGCCCTGGAAATCCAGCCACTCAACAGCCAGGAGGGGATCGACAATGAGGAAAAGGAGAAGAAGGCAGTCAAGTTGCCCAAAAAGGAGAAGTCGGTGCTGCAGGGCAAGCTGACGCGCTTGGCTGTTCAGATTGGGAAAGCCGGTGAGTGGGCTAGAGCCTTGTCGTCGTTGCCGTTGTTTACCAGTGCTGCTGTGCATCCTCACCACTGTGACCCCCTTCTTTCTACACCAACCAGTACCGGCAGAAAGAAGCTGAAAGTTCTGAGTGGCTAGTGGGGTCCTGCTAGCTGTGTCCCTGTCTCTGCCACTGTTTGGCTACTCCCTAAGCTTTTTCAGAGAGAAATGTTTTCCTGTGTGTAAGCGTTAAAGGCCCTGAGATCTCTTTCATCCAGACGGATGGGAAGTACCGAGCATATATCACAGCAGGGGAGATTTATGTTAGCAAGATGGAAGACTTTAACGATTGCTTGTCTGTCTCATGTTTTGGCTTATAAATTCCTTATAGATAGTGAAGGCTATGGTTTGCTCTCTAGCAATTCCTTGGCATAGTAGTAGCATCTGACCAAGCACAAGCAATACATGCAAAATAAAGACTGGAGGAAAACGGAAGACAGTGGTGAGAGGCACTGCGCAGAGGAGAGGTCACTAAACGCACTCTTGCACACAGTCTGAGGAGGTGGCTCCCCATCACTTACCTCTACAAGCTCCTCTCTCCCACCACCTTCTTTCAAGGGTAGGGGACTAGGGAGGTGGGAGGAGGGAACAAAAGGAAGATTGCTTCTTCAGTGGACAAATCCCTCAAGGTATAGTCTTCACCGCTGTTTATTTTCTGTTTACCACAGTCGTAACCAGCACATCTCTGTGTGTACAGTTCACCTGGAGTCTTGTTAAAGGGTGGATTCGGTTCAGGAAGTTTGAGGTAGAAGGTGGAGCCTGAGGTTCTGTATTTCTGCCCAGCCCCCATGATGCCAATGCTGCAGATGCACAGGGTAGCAACGGTCTTTGCTGCCCCCTGCAGCAGCCATTCTCCACATGTAGCTGTTTCCATTTAAATTAATTAAAATTACACAAAGTTAAAAATTCAGTTCCTCCGTCACCTTAGGCACATTTTAATTGGTCAGTAGTTAGATGTGGCTAGCGAGTACTGTATTGGACAGTGCAAATAGAGAACATCTTAAGCATCGTGGAAAGTTCTATTGGACTGGTTGACCTTGTGTCTTCATTCCATTCTAGTGCCCGGCTAATTTTGACTACCATGAAATCTCTTGCATATAAACTTACACGCATGAGATAAATTGCAGTTGCAGAATCAAATTATTGAGCTTGGCACACAGGTTTGCAACATTAAACAGACCCCACCGAATACTCCTATTGTTCTCCTAACCCCTGCCTTGTTCTTCTCAGGAAGTACAACTACGTGAAGCCTGGCCACTTGTCTGCTCTGCTGTTCTAATTCACATATCAAGCCTGGCCAGGACTGGGGCGAGGCAGGTGAGGTGCCCTCCACCTCCTGGAGAGTGAGCGCCTCCTGCAATCTTGTACCCCAGGTTCCTTGCTTCCTCACCTGACTCCCGGGCCTAATCAAGCAAAGTATAGAAAAATATGCTTTCATTGATATCATCACCTCCAGCCTTGCTCTGAGGCCCCTGAATCATCAGACCCTTAGGAAAAGCAAAGACCAAAACCAGACTATGGTTTAAAGCAGAGCTTTTGCCAAATATTGTGCCACAGATAGGTACAGGGTGCCTGGATAGTGATCCCTTTTGTCCTCAGAGTGGCCAGGCAGAACCCAGGGCAATCAGGGGCCCTAGGCTAGTTGTTCGTTGACATTGAGCAGATTCTTTCATTTACCTCAATGTGTAGGGTAACCAACTGTCCCAGTCTGCTTGGGACTTTCTCAGTTTTAGCACTGAAAGTCCCACGTTCCAGAAAACTGTTCTGTCTCAGGCAAACCAGGATGGTTAGTTGCCTTATTGGTGTGCCATACCAAAGCCGTCTCTGTGCTTTAGTTTCCTCATCTTTAAAAAGAGGATGAGACAGTGACCCACCTCCCAGGTTTGTTATGCGGTTGTTGTGAAGCACTTGCCTGGCCCGCACTGAGCACCGTGTAAATGTCTGCTCTTATTGGCATCTCCTATGTGTGCCATGTGTGCCATGACAGGAGAAAGGTTGAGAAGCATTGTCCTAAGGGCTAGTCGTGCAGATGATGTGCTAGCACCTCAGGCACATCGCTGTAAACAAGGCGTGAATTGTCCCACATCCACAGACCAGTAGGGGAGACATCAGAGTTGATGAACTACTGGGAAATGGACAAATACAGTCCAGTATCAACTGTGCAAAGAGGGAATAGAATCACAGAAAGCTGTTTTGGGAAACAGACCAATCCCCTTATTTATGAATGAAGAATTTGGTCCAGGAAACAGGCCCAGAGAGGATCGACGACAAGTCAAATCCACAAGTCGGGTTGGTGCTGTGCTGAGAGAAGAACCTGCGTCTTTGGAATATGAGACCAGAGTGTTTTCCTCTAGACTGTAATGTACAAGCAACAGAGAACGGGTGAGGGATTTCAGCATAACTTCCTGGAGATGGTGTTTTTAAACACTGGTAGCAAAGGCTGTAACTTATGCCAATCCATCTATGTCTAGAGCCCTAGGGGTCCCCTCCAGCCTGGGTTCATGTGACTCGTTTCCCTGGACAGGTCTCATCATGTCTGCCATCACAGTCCTCATCCTGATTCTGTACTTTGTGATTGACAACTTCGCTATACAAGGCAGAACATGGCTACCCGAGTGTACTCCCATCTACATCCAGTACTTTGTCAAGTTCTTCATCATTGGCGTCACTGTACTGGTGGTGGCTGTGCCGGAGGGGCTGCCACTGGCTGTCACCATCTCACTGGCCTACTCTGTGAAGGTGAGACTGGAACAGTACTGTCTCTTCCTTTAGGACAGAAAGCAGAGGGGAGGGTACCACGTAGCCATTGCTGAAAGTATAGGCCATTCTGTCCTCTACAAACTTTGGGTGGTGCGTCACAAGAGCGGAAGTCCCTGGCACTGTGGAAGGACCATCTCTATCAGTTGCATCAATGTTTACATAACCCAGTAGCATCTTAAGAGACTCACAAAAATAGTATCTTGTATTTCCAAGTGGGACTGAAGAATAAAATGTGGAGAGATGTTGGCTAGGAAAAGGCTTTTGAGCTACATTTGGGAGAGCCCTCAAGTCTTTTCTTTTCTTTTTTGTAGAAAATGATGAAAGACAATAACCTGGTGCGGCACTTGGATGCCTGTGAGACAATGGGCAATGCCACAGCCATCTGCTCTGATAAGACAGGCACATTGACCATGAACCGCATGACTGTAGTACAAGTGTTTATGGGGGGCACCCGTTACCATCAGGTCCCCAGTCCTGATGTCTTCCCACCTAAGGTCCTGGACCTTATTGTCAATGGCATTTCTATCAACAGTGCTTATACCTCCAAGGTTCTGGTAAGTTCTTCCTTTGCCTGGACACTTAAATTGGGTGGTTGGAACATTAATGTTCTCTGAGACAAACCCCTTATTGTTTATTCTGCCTGAATTGCCATCCCACATCCCATCTCTTACTCCTGAGTGAATACATTTGGGGTGAGACTGCAGAGTATCCATGGGAGTAGACAGGGGGTTGGAAGTGAGGGCTTGTAGAAATCTATGGCCAAGAAGTGCCCTCCAATTACCATATAAAGGCAATGTCTCTAAGGAGGAACCTCATGCTCATAGCTGAATTGGGCTTATCAGAATTAAATTACTCACTTTCCAGAAGCAAAGAGAGGGTGTTAGAATAAGACCCACATGGGGTGAGGGCCGGCCTGTGGCTCACTCGGGAGAGTGCGGTGCTGATAGCACCAGGGCCACGGGTTCGGATCCCATATAGGGATGGCTGGTTGCTCACTAGCTGAGCGTGGTGCTGACAACACCAGGTCAAGGGTTAAGATCCCCTTACCGGTCATCTTTTTTAAAAAAAAAAAAAAAAAAAACACTGGCTGAGCGTGGTGCTGACACATGGGGTGAAACACCAGCACCACCATTAGAGCAAACTACAAAATCCCTAAGCGCTGGATGGCTTGGTGATTGTGGTCACCACTGACCACTGTCTGTGCCTACCCTCCAAAAAACCAAAAAACCCATGCCATTTCCCCCATGGGCTCTGGGAATATATGTGAAAGTTTCGTAAGGGAGTTCATGCCTTCCTAAGTTCTCTTTCTGGTCAAAGCATCTTATTCAATAGTCCTGTGTATATTTTTTCTCAGCCTCCGGAGAAGGAGGGGGGCCTGCCGCGGCAGGTGGGCAACAAGACCGAGTGTGCTCTGCTGGGCTTTGTCACAGAACTGAAGCAGGATTACCAGGCGGTGCGCAACGAGGTCCCTGAGGAGAAGCTCTACAAGGTGTACACCTTCAACTCGGTGCGCAAGTCCATGAGCACCGTCATCAGGAAGCCCAGCGGAGGCTTCCGCATGTACAGCAAGGGCGCCTCCGAGATCATCTTGCGCAAGTAAGCACCCTTCCCCCCTTCTTCCCTTCAGGGTCCTCCCCTCAGGAAGGTCTGGGTGACGTGCCCCACGCTGAACCAGTCTGAATGATGAGCGAGCCATCCGGCCAGGAGGTGACATAATAAATAATATCTGAGCATCTACTCAGGACAAGCATTGTCTTTGAGTCCTATAGGTGGCTCATTTTATTTAAGCCTCACAACCCAGTAAGGTGGGTACTATTCTTCCTGTTTAACAGATGGAAAAACGGAGGAACAGGGAAATGAAGTGACCTGCTCCAGGTGATACCGTCGATAGTAGCAGCCAGGATTCAGACCTAGACAATCGAAGCTTCCATTTCCTAATCTGAAAACAGATAGTAATACGCCCACCTCACTAGGATTAGTGACTCAATGTACACAAAATCCTTGCCCATAGCAAGTACTAGAAATGTTAGTTCAGTGTTCCTTTTTCCTTCCCATTCTCAATTCTGATTACAGGGACGTTGCATAACTTGAAAAGAGGCTAGACTACCCACAGGTCATTAAAAGTTGACCCTACTTTGGTAAAGGACCAGTGTGGCTAAATTAATACATGCCCCAACTTGCTTTAGCCACCTTTTCATCAACACGTTCTTATTTAGCGCCCTCCCGTGCACTGCGCACTATTCTAGATACTGGGGATTGAAAAAGTCTCTCCGCCTTCAAGAAGTACAAAAAAAGCAGGTGATCTACAAAATACTCGGCGTTGCATTCACATATGGTAAGAACAGATGACATGGGAGCATCACACTCTCTGCCTACCTAGACCTTACTCCATTCACATGCCAGCCCCATCTTGGGAAGCGGGACTCAGCTGGGCAATGGATAAAGGAGATATTTGGCCATGGAACGGTGTCCTTAGGAATAATGCAGCATTGCCAAACTGTCTATAAATGACTGTAGACACATATCAAGTGGGAAGGAAGAAACACTGCTTTGTGACTGTGCTCCTCCCCAGGTGTAATCGAATCCTGGACAACAAAGGGGATGTCATGCCATTCAAGAATAAAGACCGAGATGATATGGTACGCACTGTCATCGAGCCCATGGCCTGTGAGGGACTTCGGACTATCTGCATAGCTTACCGGGACTTTGATGACACAGAGCCCTCGTGGGACAATGAGAGTGAAATCCTCACTGAACTGACCTGCATTGCAGTGGTGGGCATTGAGGACCCTGTGCGCCCAGAGGTGAGGCTTCGGCTTGGAGAAAGGACAAGAACAAACATGAATGGCAGTCTTCCAGTGGCCCCTGGCCCCTGTGCAGGCCCCGTGTGACCAGAAGGGAAGCCATCCAGGAGTCACAGGAAGTAGGGTCCTAGGTCCTGTTCTAGTTTTGACTCCAGGCAAGTTCCCTAACTGCCTCTCACTTACAGGGATAGATGTTTCTGGGCTTCCTGCTTCACAGAGCTGCTGTGCAGTGCCGACTTGATAGAAGGTGGGACTGTGAGGGCTCTTGCTGTCTGAATGGTGAGAGGCATAGGTTTTACTGAGCTTATTATTATTTAGTTCTTAAGAATAGTCAAGAGGCAGAATTAACTGGGACACCAACTTTGTCTTTAGCCACCTTCTTTCAATCAACGCATTCTCTTTTGAGCACCCGCTGTGTGCTGAACTCCTATTCTAGGCACTAGGGGATTGAAAAAGTCTCTGCTTCTGAGAAGTTCAGACACATGGACTATTAATTGTTGAGGCTCAGAGGCATGAGAGGGCACCATGCATTTGGGAAACTAAAAGAGTTGATATGGTTGGAGCATGGGCCAGGTGGGTGGAGAGTGGTAGAAGCTTCTTCTGGAAAGGAAAGCAGTGGCCACATCTCAAAATGCTATCTACACCCTATTCCCAAGCCTGGATGGTAGGTGGGAGAGCAAGCTTTTACACCAGGCTCCTAAAGCAGATTTCCCTTTCAATTCATGGTACAATAAGGCAAATTCAAATGCGACTGTCATGGGATGGACAGAAGTGAGGTGGCACCAAGCAGTATAAAAATGACCAGACTTAGCCCCTGCTCCATGGCACTGCTTCTAGGGTGCCTCTCTCCTGTCCACCATGAAGGGGCAGCGGAATGGGGCAGCTTACCAGGTGGCCCCATCCCCATCTCTACCTTTCCTCTTTCTTCATTCTTCACAGGTACCGGAAGCTATTGCCAAATGCAAACGAGCTGGCATTACTGTCAGAATGGTGACAGGTGACAACGTCAACACAGCCCGGGCCATTGCCACCAAATGTGGCATTCTGACACCTGGAGATGACTTCCTGTGCTTAGAAGGCAAAGAATTCAACCGACTCATCCGCAACGAGAAGGGCGAGGTGGGTCCTGGGTGGGAAGAACTAGGGTGTCACTTGACAGGGGAAGGGCTGGTTCTACAGTAAGACATCTGGGACATATGGGAGAAAGGGGGTGTTTCTAAACTAAAAAATGTTCAGAGTGAAACATCCCTTTCTACCACAGGGCACAGATGGTAAAGTCGGGAGCTGCCTTTTTTCTCCTTATCTTCCTTCACAAGCTACCCTTTGAGACAGGTCACTAACTTTTCATATCTTTCTGCTTTTTCAGTCATGGGATAATTTTGTACTGATTTCCCCCACCTCACTCCTCCTATGTCACTACGCTGTGGGTAACAGTGGCACAGGTTTGTAAAAGGACATGGTCTTAGTGTGGAGCAGACCAAAGCTTCTTGGTCTATGTAGAAATAAAATCTAAGACCTCAGAAGCACCACCTGTTAGCCACCTTAGCCAACAGCTAACCCTGGCTCACCTCCTGTCAAGGGCCTACGAAATAGGGGATTGGCTCCCAGGCGACGAATTGGGAGGGAAAAGAAGACAAGCAAGGCCTCAATGGTTGCCATCAATGAATCCACCCTTGGAGACCGAGTTGGCTGTTTCCTCTCAAGTGGAGGCCAGGCTAACTCTTCCCCATGTGGCTGTGGAGTACCAGATCACCCAGAAGCTCAGAGGGTGTGGAGAAACAAGATTTCTCTGGATGGCTGTTCTGAGTTTGACTGATATAGGTGTGGTCTGGTGTTGGCAGGTAGAGCAAGAAAAGCTGGACAAGATCTGGCCTAAGCTTCGGGTCCTGGCGCGATCTTCTCCCACTGACAAGCACACACTGGTGAAAGGTGAGGTTGGCTCCCGAGTAGGTGCCTGCGATAGATGAAAGCAGGTTGGGGCGAGGACAGGTAAGACCATCAGCCAGAGCAACTCTCCTGTCCTGAATAGGGAGGTCCTAGGACAGCTCCCAGGCTAATGGGGAGAACATACAATTTTGCAAATATCTGCGCCCTTGGTGAGTGTGACACATAATAAAGTTGTTTGGGTTTTTTTAAATAAACATCGTCATACCTTGCTTGCCAATAGTACTGTGAACTAGGCAGAGCAGGTAAAACTGTTTCTATTTTGTAAATAAGGAAGTTTGAAGCTGAGAAGACAAGTAACTTACAAGAATTGCCCAGCTGGCAGGCAGAAGTGGTGCAGTCTGACCCCCAAGTCTCTGCCTTCAAATTCATCTGGTGCCTTTTCCACCAGACTTTATTGGCTCAGAGGATTACCCATGAAAGAATTTACTGCCCTTGGGCAGTTATTGTAGACTACCTCCAGCCTCTGGAAAAGGGAAGGAGAGAAGGAAGTAGAAGGGGTGGAAGGTTGCAGGGACAGGGAGGAAGATCAACAAAGCATCCTTCATGGGAAACACAGTGCTTGGCAAATGGCCTCAGGTGGCACTCATGAGCTCGTTTTTTTCATCTGTTTTTTCCCAGGCATCATTGACAGCACTATTGGGGAACAGCGACAGGTGGTAGCTGTCACTGGTGATGGCACAAATGATGGGCCTGCTCTGAAGAAAGCAGATGTTGGCTTTGCCATGGTAAGCTCAGCAGTGTCTGATTGCAAGCTGCCTTCTCCTCCGGGAGGCCAGGACAGGCTTCTGGGAAATGCTGCTACTTCCTGTACCTGCACATCCCATGGTGTGCTTTTTGTTCTAACTCCATCTCTCCTACTACCTACCTGACCAATAATAATATGTATAACAGGAGACCCATCAAGTATGAAGGATAGATGACGGAGGCAGGGAAATTATGAAGGATTATTACCCAGGAAAGCAAGACCAACTTAAACCTTTCCATGAACATGGTAATGTGGTCTGTCCAGGCAAACTATGGAAAGTTCACATTCAGTGTGGAACGTGTACTCTATAGCCAGCACTATTCAGTACCGTGCTCTTCACTTGNTATGGAAAGTTCACATTCAGTGTGGAACGTGTACTCTATAGCCAGCACTATTCAGTACCGTGCTCTTCACTTGGGCCAGGAGCATCAGGATCATTTAAAATCACATATTCCAAGGTTCCACAGATGGATATTCAGTTGGGTCTGCGGTAAACACCAAAAAAATGTTTGGGTTTTTTATTTTTAGCAGGCAGAGCAGTTTGTTTCTGATCTTCAGGGAGGTTTAGAAGCAGCCAAATTACAAAGGACTTCCTCACCCTCAGGTAGCTTATGATTGTAAGTCTCCCGTATACAAGGGGTCTCCAAAAAGTTCATGGAAGGATTCATATTATCTTTTAATTCAATTTTTCCACAAACTTTTTTTTTTTTTTTTTTTTTTTTTT